TCAGAAAAGACGTTCAGAATGGCTTCAAAAAGGGGCCAGAGTAGTGGGATAAGCGTGTTGAAGTGAGGGGGAGGATTTTGATCAGGATTCATAGCAATGCGTCTTTTACTGTTTTACATATATACAAATAGCTTAAACATTTAGTGTTTAATCTGATCACTCTTGATGTTTGTTCCCTGCTTTCAGCAACCTTGGAAAACCCACTGACTGTCCTTCAGACTCAGCTTTTCCAGGTGTGCCAAACCCACAAGTCTCCTGTGCGCTTGTCCCTGGACAGTGGAGCGCTTTGTGAAACTGACCCGTTGGTTCATGCTGGCTCCAGAGCCTTGCGCATGCTGAGCACTTGAGCTGCCAGTGAGCCGCACCCTGCCCGCTTCGTGAACACCAGGCAGGGCACACACTGAGAGCGTCAGGAGATCTGGCTCTGCTGGCCAGGAGCAGTGCTCTGCTCTCCGCCTGTAGCTCTGTGTCCTGTCCTTGGTGACAGATAGAAACCATATAGCTATTCATGTGAGAAAAAGATGTACATTAGAATTATTTGTATGCTGGAGAGAGCTGCAGCTCTGGGTTCCCATGCTCAGGTTTCTCAGGATGAATTGAAGCTAATGGGTGTGACTCTTACAGGGGTGCTGCAACTTAGATTTGGCCATCCAGCACTGAAGTTTTGAGTTTATGAGCACATTTCCAATAGCATGCTTTTGGGAAAGGCAGGAGGTAGAACTGAGTTTATTTCCTTCTAGGTTAGAAGTCCTTCTCTGGGATTTCAGGTGGACCCATGTGCTATCACAGAGGCTGTACCAGTCCCCTGGTGTGGAGGGGTTAGCGATTTCACCCAGGTCTCTGGTGCTCATTTCGCTTTTTCCTGACTTGTGGAAGTCATGCACTCACCTCCTTGCACTGCCTTAGGGTAGCAATCTGGCAGGAGCTGTCGAGGGTAGACAGCCAGCAGGGCATCTCGTTCTGCAGAGGCCCTGAGCCCCAGGCCTTCTTGTCCGCCCGACTTGGACATGTAGCACACATTGCCATAGGAGCCCTTATTGCAGGGAGAGGGCTCAGGGTGGTCTGACAGGAACTTTGCACACACACTGAAGTCCATGGCATTGTATTCCAGAGTGCCAGACTAACAGTGGTAAGAAGAGTTTTTAAAAAATGTTATTTCATAAAACAGTATTCATGAAGTGGTGTCTCCAGGTTGTTCAGCTAGGATACCCTGCCCCAAATTCACATAATGAATACCAATTTCCACTGGTTTTGAGGTTCTTGATACTCATTCTAGCCCATTACTTGTCCCATTTTATCACACGAGTAAACAGGCTGGCATGTACTCAGGGAAATCTCTAAATGAATGCCTCTGTCTGAAAGTTTCTCCTCAAAGCCTGTCTCACCCCAGAGCCCAACTCTGAGCCTCCCCCACCCTCACGGGCAGTCCCAGGTGGTAAGAGAATTCATGACTTCATGGTGAGGAAGAAGGAAAGGCTGAGAGTGTGGGCATCCCAGGGCCAGTCTACAGGAGATAAAATTGCACAAAACTCCACAAGTCTAACCACCACACTGCACCAGAACTCAGCACTATACTTGTAAGTTATAGTTCAAGCTGGGCATGCCCATAATCCCGCAGCTCTGGGATGCTGAGGCAGGAGGGTTGCCAGTGGCAGCCCAACTCAATGAGGTCCCATCTCAAAATTACAAATGCCTGAAAAACAAGTTTGGGGATGTAGCTGGTGTGAAGATGTTACACTTCATCAGCCCTCATTGCTCTGACTGTACTTGGGCCAGGCTGAACAGCAGGAGCCCTGTGATGACAGGGGCCCGAGACGACAAGCAGGGTGGGGTGGTCAGTGGGACTTTACAAGTCTGCAGGGAGCTGGTTCTTCCTCCTGATGAGTCCTCTACCTCCTGTGACACACAGCGCTGCCCCTGGTGCTGGAAAATGAGGGACCTGCACAGCCTTGAGGCTTCCTGTTAGGCCCTTGACGAGATCTGGGTTCGAGTCAGGAGCCTGTGTCAGGTGTGCTAGGAGATCTCTCTAGACACCCGTCCTCAAAGGTGTCTGTGAATTCCAGCAGGCGGCAACCTTAAACTCTGGCCGTGAACTTCAATAGCCTCCAAACACAGACAAAGTGGAAAAGCATGCAGAATATTGAAAAGCCAAGTTAAAGAAGCTGGTAGTCTCAAAGGCAAGAATGGAACCCAGCAAGGGCTTGGCCAGGGCTTTCTCCCTCAGGAGCTGCCCAGACCGCCTGTCCATGGTGTTATGGCCCTCATATCTTCAAAATGACAGTGAATGCATCGATTGAAACTATTACTTGAAAAGACACATTACCATGAACTCCCTCAAAATCCTCCCCCTGACTTCAGACACACTGATCCCGTCATTTTCACCACTTTCCGCGGCAGCTCTGGAGTCCCCTTTTGTGAGTGTCTTTAGTTGTGTTGCCCTAACAGATTTAGGACGTTTCCCTTTCATGGTCATTTTGACTTTGGGGAAGAGCCAGAAGTTGAAAGGTGCCAGATCCAGAGAATAAGGTGGGTGAGGACCTGCTGTCATCCTTTTATGTGACGGAAATTGTTGTAAATATTTTGAGTCAGTTCAGGACATCACTGCAGCCATGAAAAGACACTCAGGAAAGAACTTGCAGAGCTGCTTCAGAAAGTGGCAAGCGCCACCCAGGCAGGTTAGGGCATGGTCAGCCATCTGAGCAAGCGCACGTGCCCTGTCAGTCAGGTCCAGGACACACAGGCAGAACAGTTGCCCAGCACCTGGGACCCACCAGAAAGTGCTGTCTTCAATCTTCTGGCAAAAAATAAGAGGTTTTTGATAGGACGGCCTGCTGTGACATCAGCCTGAGGAAGGAGGGATGCCAAGGACCTCCTTCATGCCACTGTGTGCTCTCGGTGGCCCACGGTCACCCTGCAGAGTGCACTTCTTTACCTGCCCTTAGTAAAGGTGGAACCTCCCTACCTTTTCCACGGGCCTTACTCAATTCTTTGTCAGGACACCAAGGATCTGGAGAGAGTACAGTAAACCTCACAATCTGGAAGCACCGTGAGACACATATGTTCGAAATGAGAGACACGAGTTTGGGATTCATGGCAGTGTGTCTTTCCCGCAATGCATTTTTTACTGCACACACACACTGTAGGTTTTGCTCTCACTTCATACTTGCAGGATCTGAGTGGGCCTTGTGCTGACTTGCCAATGTGAGTCTTGAATCTGGGCTTTGGGAGAGGCCAACCCACTGGCAGAGCTGAGCCTCAACCGCATTAAAGGCTCCCAGCACCGAGTTAAAGGTCTACTGTTTAGCAACAAGTTGACAATCTGCTTTTGAATCATTCTCCCCCTGGGTCAGGTTGACCTGAGTAATTTGGTGAGCGGTGTTCAGGGAACTCCTAACAATTCACTAGTTCAGTGAAGAGCAAAGCAAACAGCAGAGGAAAAAGTCTGATTCTTGGTTTTCTGGCTTGCTGTGCTACTGAGGGGTATTTTTAAAAGGCTACCTTCTGAATTGGAAATTGACATTTAAATACACTCGCAGAATGTATGCCATAGAATAAAGCTTAAAAGCCCAGTGTGGGTGTGGGAGCTGGCCACTTTGTGGGGAGCCATCCCTGACTGATGAGGCTCCCACAATTTGAAGGGCAGTTTATGTCTCCCACTTCAATCAATCCTCTATCAGGGGCCAGAAAAAGATGAATACATGCATGGTCAAAGCATGGACTAAAATCCTCCACTACCTTGGCAGCAAGTCCCTTAGGAAGGTAGAAAATCTCCCAAACCCAGTCCCTAAAGCTGCCTCCCGCACTCCCAGCTCTGCCCTCTGTCACCTGTCCTACTTCTCAGGCTCATTGCCTGGTGACTCTTGCGACAAGCTCCTTCCTCTGTAAAATTCATCATCCTCTCATGCTGCTGGAATGTTGTCTCTTCATGAGGTGCTTTCCTAACTGATTTACTCCATCAAGTAGAATTATTTACATAGCATTCTGTATCCTTCACTAGATCACCAATTCCCTAAGAAGCATCTTAATGCTCAGTGTACCCCTTAGCATTCAGTGGACACTAATCAATTTTTGTTTAATTTTATGTTTAACTTTTGTTTAACTTTAATAGAGGCTGGATGGAAGGGGTTAGATGAAGTGTGAAGTCCCAGTTCTGACCTCTGAAGCCAGCTAACTGCTGAAGGCCAGCTCAGCTGCAAGCATCAAAGAGGTCTCCCAAAGCTTTACAGTCTTCAAAGTCTGTAATTCAATAGAGTTTGTTGTAAGTAGCTAAAACTTCACCAGGTTCTTATGCCACTGTCAAAAAAATCCCTCAGCTTAGCTTAAAGATCTTAATTGGCTTTATTTATGGTCTTAGAATCTGGCATCTCTTCATTGTATAAAATAAAACAAATGTTCCAATGAACAGAACAGAGGTTGGTCTCATAGATTTTAAAAAAAAAGGGCTAAAGAAAGCAGAAACAGAAAACAAAAAGCAGACTTGTCATTTCAAGGTTACTTCCTTTGTAAAGCCAGGATAGGAAGGCAGGTTACAGAGTGGGGCTGGGGGAAGAGGGAGGGAGGGAGGGAGAGAAAGAAAGAGAGGGAAGGAGGGAGGAGGGAGGGAGAGAGAGAGGAGGAAGGAGGGAGGGAGGGAGGGAGAGAAGGCGGGATGGGGGGAGGGAGGGAGGATAGAGAGCGAGAGAGAAGAAGAGGGCGGGAGGGAAGAAGGGAAGGAGGGAGGGAGAGAAAAAGAGAGAAAAACAGGGAAACTTTATTACTTTATTACCATGCCAATTGGAGCCAGCCAGTTTGGGAAATCTGACTGTTGTTGCCCTACTCCTGATTTCTGGAAAGGTCAGATAAACAGCTTAGTTTCAGGCTGGTGATGTGGAACTTTAGCCCGAGTGATTCCATTTTTATTTTTTAGCCCAATCTGCTGGAGCCTAGTATGGGAGCTTAGTTTAAAACAATGGCCTCGTGTAATTTTAATCTGCAGCACCTGCTTCTGTGGCTTTTCTCAGCTATCTGAAACAGGCTCCCCATCGGAGGTGACTCATTCTCCTAAAACACTCCAGCAACCAGACAGCTCTCTGGGAGGAGACCCTTCCTGAGGTGACGAGGATTGGAAACTTTATCTTCGTATAATTTAAATCTGAGGATTGAGAACAAAAGCCAGCATGTTGTGACCTCACAGCTTCCTTATTTATAACAAGAAAGAAGATTGCCTATGAAGATAATGCCGTGGACCAATCAGTCATTTAACTGGAAATTCCTGGAAACCAGTTGCTCATCTGGGTACTCAACAGACAGTACTCATCAGGCAATAGTTTCCTTATCAAGGCAGGCTCACCGTGCTCACCCTGCTGCGTTCCCCGGACTATGTTGTGAACAGCACCCATTTGCAGTCAGTTCCCCACCTTGAAAGACCACGGACCACAGACCAGGTAACATCCTCTCCCCGCTCTTCGTTCTGAGGCTATTCTAAGACAGTGGTGGCCAAGATTCTGCCCTCTGCAGCAGGGCTAACAGACTTACCTTCGCCTCACAATGATTCATTCTGATAGTTTTTGATAAAGCCAGGGTCATGAGGAATGGACGATTTTATGCTGGATACACAGGGTCTGAAGTTCTGGCTTCTGCCATGATTCCCGTGACCTGAGGCAATTCTCTAGTGCTCTCCATTGGGTCAAGAGTTAGAAGAGAGGTTGGAATAAACCACTTTTACACTCCTGTCATTTCTGTGTTCATAACTTTTGTTGCCTTACTTTTTTCCAAAAGTGAAAGTAGTAGCCAGTGCAGTGGGGAAGAGTGGTTATCACCCACTACTGGTTTTGTTATTCACTGGAAGGATCCTCATATTCTTGACACTTTTGGGGAACGAGACAGTTCGTTTAAGTGATATTTTGAAATAAAGGAGTGAAGCAATGGCTGCACACTTGCATGGCAAGCTTCACTCTCAGCATACCTTTAAGAAGCCGTAGGTCAGGAGAGCAGAGTTCTGATGCAGTGCCTTTACTGTAGGAGCAAGATCTAAAGAATGAGTTCAGCCCCTCTTAGTTATGTGATGTCCTTTGCCTTGCCACAGGGACCCTTGACCACTACTTATAAATTACTCGGCCTGTAGTATTCTCTTACAACCGCACAAAAGAGACTTAGGCCTTTGCCATACTATAAAGATCTTTCAAAATATTACCCATTTAAAAGAATAACTTTCTAAATTCTTTCTTATGAATCTTTCCAACAGTACAAGTATCTGCCTTCCAAAGCTGAAGACATAGACTTTTTTCTAGAAGTATGGAGTGTTAGTTTGGGACTTATTTTGCAAGGGGAACAATATAATACAGGACACATATTTTATAAGATTATTTATAATAGTCACCCAAAGAATGATATACAAAAGAGTGCATGAAATCTGTCCACACACTAAGACCAAGGAATTCTGCTGAGGGCCTGGATCCCATGGAAATATCCTGCAAGAGTCCAGCTGAATACCTAGAGCTCATAACAATGCTTCTCACAAATCCAACTGGAGGCCTAGAGCCCATGACAACGTCTCATGCAGGCCTGTTTCATGGATCTACACTGGGAAGGCCCAAAGGTCAGTGGTGGAATCTAGGAAGTCTGTGCCAGCAGGATGAAGGATCTGTGCTAGCATGCTGAGGGATCTGCACTGGAGCCAGCAAGTGATGCTCAGAAGAAAGTGAGTTCCCCCCAAAAGTACTACAGCCCTCTTCAGCAACAGTGAGGTTCCAAGCTCCTCTGATGATCAAGATGGCCAAATTCTCCTGTCAGGAAAGCCAACGCAGCGAGCTTCTCCAGGAGACTGGTGGTGCACTGTCTTCCCCTCCGGAGCCAGGAAGTGATGCTCAGAGTGAGGACCAGAGCTCCCTCAAAGTGAACTGAAGCCATTCTCAGTGCCAATCAGGTCCCGAGCTCCTCAGAGGATGTAAACAGCCAAGTTCATCAGGAAAGCCAGCATGACGAGCTCCTCCAAAAACAACCAACAGCTCCTTACAGCTTCTACCAGCTCCCAACAGCCTCTCTCAGCTCCCAACAGCCTCTTTAGTTCCCAAAAGAACACTTTTGGGAACTAAAGAACAGTTCCCTTTAGTTCCTCTGTTCTTCTTCTCCAGTTCTGCCTCTTATGCTGCTGGCAGCAGTCCCCAGGTGGGCCTCCCACACCCAGAACCACACTTACTCAGTTCAGCTGGGGGTTATAAGGTGACCACCAGTTGTCAATGCACTACATATGGTGACATTGAATGTTGGGTAAAGCGAAGCAGACATTGCTTGCACTAAAGGAGACAATAGAATATTTTTAGCATTATCTAAAGTGATGTAATGTGATAATTTCCACAGAGGGATTCATGAAGAATGTTTGTTATACACTGAATTCACACAGGCTGTTCTAATTTTTATAGAAGTTGTTTTAGTCAGCTTTCCTGTCACTGGGACACAACCCTCTACCCGCTCCATTTAAATGAAGGGAGGAAGAGAGGTGTAATGTGGCTCACGGTTTTGGGGGATTCAGTCCATGGTCGGCTGGCTCCAAGGCAGACACAGCACAGTGGAAGGGTTTAGTGGCCAGGGAGGGAAATAGGTACATCCTGCCAGGTCACTCCTCTGGGAGCCACAGCCTCCAACCAGGCCCATTTAGCACCCTTAGCTCTGAACCCAACAGTGCGTGAACCCACTGATGAGTACAGCACCTACAGGATCCAATCATCTTCCAGAAACCCCACTTCTGAACACATGAGACTTTTGGGGGGCATTTTACATCTAAAATATAACATAAAGGAACACAACAATGATTGCAAGGTTAAATAATATTAACTGTGGCTCTCTCTGGTGGTGATTAAAGTTTCTTCTTTGTTCTTTTCTATATTTTGCAGCTTTTCAACCATAACAACCTATGATTTTTATAATAACAACTCAGCCAAGATGTGGAAATGGGAAATTCTCAGCCTGAAAGCCAAGAGACCCAGAGAGGCAGGTTCCCCACCCATGTGCAATGAGGGTCAGGGAGTGGAGACCCAAGAAGTTGATAAGTCTAAGCCCTGGCTGTAGAGCAGTCTCAGCACCAAGGCTGCTCATGCTAGGCCTGATCAAAAGATACAGTAAGTTTTAAATGAAAAAAGAAAACAAACAAAAAAAAAAACCAAAACTATTACAATGAAAGATCCCTTGCTAGGAACAGTGGGATCAGTGTGCTTGAAGCATGGTGGAGCATTCTTAGTATTTTGAGGGGGACTAATGGCCGTGTGTCTTTTACTATAATACATATTTTAATTTACACATTCATCATATTTTATGATCAACACTTATTGATCAAAACTTTGTGGCAAATTCTGTCAAATTAAAATGATAGTGTATTCTCACCCATCTTATTCAGTTGATCTGGCACCATGTGACCTCTGGTTCTTCCCCAAAGTCAAAATGGCCATCAAAGGCCAATTTTTTTTTTTTTTTTGAGACTGGGTTTTACTATGCCTCATCCTCACAGCAATTCCCCTGCCTCAGCCTCCTGAGTGCTGGGATTACTGTCATGCACCGCCACGCCCAGCCCTAAAGGTCAATATTTGAATCAATTCAGGACATCAAGGCATCCAGCACAGTGCAATTAAAGACACCCAGGAAAGAGAACTTGCAGAACTGTGTCGGAAAGTGGCAAGGATGACAGGATGATTGTGTTTGAAGTCAAGGGATTCATGACAGTGTAGTTTTTACTATAATACATTAAAGAGGGCTTAAATATCCACCATATTTTTTGATCACACCTTTTATGTCAAGGAGAGCTGGGGTCCAGAGACAGGGTGGGCCATAAGGCCTTGATATATAAGTGGAGGGAAAACTCACAAGGGAAAGTTGGTCACCGGTGTGCTGACTTTGTTGGGATATAACACAGTCTTCGCATGCTCTTGAAAGTTGCTGCTGTGTAGCTCACACAAAAATGTCCTCCTGGGGTCAGACTCGACAACCCTATTTGAAACTGACTGTTCCATAAATCTTTGTTACTGTGCTGCATGTTCTCCATCCCCCCTTCATCTCTTGGCTTCGTTTTTGATTTATCATGAGTGACTCTTAGAGTCTGTGAGGTCATGGCCTTTGGGAAACTTTATGTCTGGGACTGTCTACCTGCATGGCCAAGTGTCTCAACTCCCACAATGAGGGAAGCTTACTGACATCTCCCCAACCCTAGAGGTCCTGCACAATCTCCCTCAGCCCTGTGCCGGCCATGGGGCTGCTGCAACTGATCTCAGTCAGCCTTTCCCACTGCGTCCTAGGACTACCGCTCAGCATATCTGCAAGCTGAGAGCAAAAAGTTTTTATCTCTTGAGAATGCTGTATTTCCCCCCAAACTACCTGATAGATAAGCCTGAAGCTCTGCTTGTAAGAAGATGTAAGATTTCTAGGGAAGATAAATGTGAAAAAACCAAGGTTTTGAGTGAAATTTATATAAGCTTTTAGAAATAGGTGTATAGTCACTAAAATAAAATGGCACTAGAGTGTCATTTGTGCAGAGTGCATCCTATGGCCTTGGTTTTAAGTACTTTGTGCATTCTGTCACATATTTCACACAAGGAATCTTCAGGTAGGATGATTGGGTTCTCTGCTTCTTACATGGCAAAGTAAAACATGGACAGGTTAGTAAGTTACTGAAGTTCATCCAGCGAGTGAGTGGTGGAAAACTATTCTCAGGTCAGGATGTGTGTCATCAAAGTCAGATGCTTGCATTTTACGTGTCTCATGCTGCTGATAAACAAAGAAACTACCAATGACATAAACTAGGCAGCTGTATGGCACCAGGGCCTTCTGCTTGCTGTTCCTTGATCACTGGATACATCAGGACCTTCACTCTCTTAGATGAAATGCACACATGTCTTCTGTTGCAGATAATATGTGTATTAATTGGGAAGTTTTCTTTTGTATTTATTTTCTATTTAAGTGCATGTGTCTGAAATTTCACAATTAAAAAAAAAATTGAAAGCATCTTTCTCCTGAGAAGCAGAGGGACCTTGGCTCTTAAAAGAGAATGCTTCCAGC